TTTCTCCCCTCTTTTCTCCCCCCCCCCGTCCTCCTCCTCTCCTCTCTCCCCCATTTCTTCCTTCCCCTCTGTTCCTCTCCTACCTCTCCTCTTCCCTCCATTTCCCCAGCCCTCCATCTCCCCCCATCCTCCTCCCCTCCCCGTCGCTCTCCTCTTCCCCCTCCCCTCCCCATTCCCCACTCCCCTCCGCCTCGGTCTGTTCAGTTGGGATCCCACACTGACACATCTTGTACTTCCCGTTTCCAGGGAAATTCCTTGCCTACTCGACCACACCCGCCCTTGAGGACCTGCCCATCTCTTTGGGCAGAGCAGAAGTCAGACAGGGACCTGGACTGTGAGGCGAACACCCCCTGCTGGGTGTGCGCCAAGAGCCTTCGAGGGGCAGGGGGATAGCTCCCTGACACCTGGAGCCTGGCTTGGGGTGCAGGGTCCAAGTGCCTCGGGGAAGAGGTGGGGGCCTCGTGGAATACGTGACTCAAGCCCCTTCCAGCTGCGGTTAGGAGGACAGAGACCACTCCCCACCGGTGCCCTGACATCTTCTGCTTCCTGCCCTTGCTGCTGGGAGGCCCAGTCACCACAGCACACTGGCACACGGACACTCGGGCCCCTCCCAGGCACCCTTGAAAGGACCAGCTGCAGCTGGGGGCGTCTGGCCCTGCCAGGGTCACAGAGCCTCAGCAGGCCCTCCACCCCTTTCCGTGCCTCCAGGTCTCAAGCAAAACACCACTCTGTCCTTAGCTGCTTGGGGGCGGGGTGGGGGGTCGGCGCGGGGTTATTTTTAGCAGGGATTCGAGAAAGGCACTTTTCTCTTTGACTTTCACTGGGCGCCACTCCCTAAACCCCCCAGCCCGAGGAGGGCGGCTGGGAAACCCCCTCTTAGGAAGAGGAAACCGGTGCATTCTGCTTTGCAGTTAATTCTAAGGACCAGAGTGGCAGGCAGGCGTGAGACTGCACGGATGGGGAAGTGCCACCTCATTCCGGGTCTCTGTGTCTCATAAATTTGGGGAGCAAAGGGGATGTAGTGTGTAGAGTCAGGGTCCTCAGCGTTAGGAACTGGATGCCCAAGGGACCGCTTGGTTATTGTCAGGGACGTTTGGGAGTTTCCACAGAGGCTAATTTTATGGTTTTCTTTGTTGCTTTTTGTTTGTTTGTTTGTTTTGATATAGGGTCTCACTAGCCCTGGCTGGCCTGGAAGCAGCTTTGTAGACCAGACTAGCCTTGAAATTATAGTGATTTGCCTGCCCCTGAGTCTCGAGTGATAAGATCAAAGGTGTGAGCCACCACACCCAGCCTTTTACAGAAAGTTTTTAAAATTACATTTTGCTGGCGCTGGTGAGGTGGCTTAGTGCATAAAGGTACGTGCTACCTAGCTTGGTGGCCCGAGTCCATCTCTGGGACCCAAGTGGTGGCATGGGAGAACTGACTCCAAAGCTTCTCCTCAGATCTGTGTATTGATGCAGGGACACACAAAAGCATGCACTCGTGTGTGCGCACACACACAGGACTCTCACACACACACAGGACTCTCACTCACAGAACTCACACACACACACACACACACACACACAGGACTCTCACACACACACAGGACTCACACATACACACCCATGCACACACAGCACACATACATACACTTATACACACTTACACACTACACACACTATACATACAGACCACACACACCGAACAGGACTCAGAGACACATATATACCCATGCACACGCACACACACACACATACTCATAAACACTCAACACTCATATACACATATACTCACAAACACACACACACACATGCACACTCACATACCACACACACCATACACACATAGACCACACACAGGACTCTCTCTCACACACGCATACACACAGAGGACATACACATACACTCATACACTCACATTGCACACACCATACACACACAGCCCTCCCCCCCCCACACTACACACAGGGACTCACACACACACACACACAGGACTCACAAACACTTGTATACAGCCATGCACACACTCACACACACAGCACATACCATATACACAGACTGCACACTCCCACACACATACCACACACACTCACGCACATACAAATACAGGACTCTCACACATGCCACATACACATACACTCACATAGTATACACTCAGGCACACAGCACACATACCTACACATACACACATACTATACAGACCATACACACCATATATACTCATGTACACACTCAAACACATGACACACACACATACCACACATATATACACTCACACACACTCATGTACCCATATACTACATACACCACAAACTCAGACCCCCCCCCCCAAATAAATAAATTATAGCTGAGACTGAGGAGATGCTTAGCAGGTTTGTGTGCTTATTCTGAAAGCAACAGGGCCCGAGTTCAAATCCCCACAGCCCAGGTAAAAGCCCGGATCTGTGTGAGCCCAATATCAGGGGTGGATCCCAGGAGATTACTGGATAGCCAGCCTAGCCCAACCCAAGTTGATCATGTTCAGAGAGAGAGAGAGAGAGAGAGAGAGAGAGAGAGAGAGAGAGAGAGAGATCCTGTCTCAAAAAGGAAAGTGTAAAATTGATACGCAGGGACAGCTGATACAATATGTACACTTACACGGGTACACATGCACACGTGTGCACAACACATTCACAAGAAAAAGAGGACTGAAGGAGTGACTCAGGAGTTCAGAGTCTGTGTTACCTTTCCATAGGCCTGAGTGTGGTTTCCAGTACCACAGGCCTGTAAGCCCGGCTCCAGAGAGCCCAGGCTTTCCTGTCCTTTGTGGGTACCCACGTACACGACAGACATATGTCCACAAACACACAGAAAAAAATCATTTTTGGCTGGGTGTGGTGACACATGCCTTTAATCCTAGCACTTGGGAGTCAGAGGCAGGCTGATCTCTGTGACGTTGAGGTAAGCCTGGTCTAAAATCGAATCCAGGACACAGCCAGGACTGTTTACACAGAGAAACCCTATTTCAGAAACAAAACAAAAATTTTTTAAAAACCAAAAATTTATTTTTGTTATTTATTTACATTATTATTTAGTTAGTTAATTTGTTTTTTTTGGTTTTCAAGATAGAGTCTCTCTATGTAACAGCCATGGCTGTCTTGGAACTCCAGCTGTAAACCAGGCTGACCTTGAACTCACAGAGACTCACCTGCCTCTGGCTTCCAAGTGCTGAGATTAAAGGCGTGAAGCATCATCACCCGGCTATTTTTTCTTTTAAAAAATAAATCCTTAAAAAAAAAATTTAGCTGCTATTGCTGGAGAGGAGAGTGGATAGCAAGATTAGTAGTGGTGGTTGTCATAGAATTTTTAGACTGTTTTTTCTGTGTAGTCTTGGGTGGCCTTAAACTCATCTGTCTCTGCCTCCTCAGAGATATGAAGCGTGCCCCACCATGCCCGGCCAAAATGAACTTTTGAGGCTGGCCTTGAACTTCTGATCTTGCTGTCTCCATCCACCTCAGTGCTAGGATTACAGGCATGCACCGGTCATGCCCAGCTTTTAAGGTGCTGGGGATAGAACCCAGATACGCATGCATGATAGGCAACGTTTACGCTATCAGTTTAGCCATATCTCCAGCCTGTGGACAGGAACGGGTAGAAAGACCTCCACTGAGGACTTAACTTCAATACAGGAGGTGGGAGTCACCCTTGAAACCAGAACAAGAGGCCTTGAGTGAAAAGGGCCGAGTGAGGAAGAGGGTTAGCCTGGCTGTTTTGCTAGTTGTCTGTCCCTAGTGAAACAGCAGCCCCTCCACCTCCTAGAACCCCTCACAAAGCTTAGCAGGGTGGTGGTGGTGGTGGTGGGGTGTTTAGCAAAGCCAAGACCTTAAGGAACGACTCCCTCAAGGCCATCCAGCCTGGGACAGGCAGAAGTGGGGTCTTTGTGGTTAGCTGATTTCTGTCTTCCTTTTCAAGGTCGTTAAGATTCTGGGCCAACCCCGTCCTTTTGTCTGGCCTGGAGAGGAGAGAGCAGAGCTTACTAGAGAGGCGCCAGAGGGTGCAGAGGTTCCTGGGTGCTCCCTGCCCTCTCTCTAAAACACCTATCTGAAGCTGCCAGCTGCGGGGGACCAGAGGATGACTGAGATACATTCTACTGGCTGTGACATCAGAGTTGGCATTCCCAGGTGAGAAGAGGGCTTTATCCTGTCTCCAGATGAGGTCCCGGAGAGGCAGCGGTTTAGGGATAAACAGTGACCTGTTGGCAAGGGAGGCAGGGGAGGGAGACTCCCTTGGACACCCAGCAATGCTTCTCCTGCAAGCCCCTGGAAAGGAATTGAGAGCACTGACCCAGAATCAGGAGCCCTCACTTCCGGTCCTAGGGCTCTCAATCGCTTCCTCTCTCAGGGCAGTGGTCTCCCGCGAACAAGAGGGAAGCAGTCTTTAGAAGACCTCAGCTCCTGTCAGATTTCCTTTTCCCTACCCCAGCTCCTTTGCCTGAGTCATGTCTGCCGCCTGGAATGCTGAGATTTCACACCTTCCCACTGAGCAGCTAGTGGCTGGACAACCAGGTCTGAGAGTCAGTCTGGAACCACTCTAGGAAAGCTGACCACTTTGGAAAGGGCCCCGGGAAGAAGACAGTCCAAGCTGCACTGTCCTTAGTCACACACACCCAGGAAGACTATCCCTCAACAAACACAGGAGCTGGGTGTGGTGACACACACCTGTAATTCCAGGCGCTGGGAAGCAGGCTCTCCCAGGTTGACCTTGGCTATCTAGTGAGGTTGAGGCCAGCCTGAGCTACTTGAAACCCTGTCCTTCCTGGACCAAAAACAAGTGCTGGGCTCTCAGTGGGTAGGATCCCTAGAACCCAATTTAAAAGCCAGGCATGGTGGTACTGTGTATCTGTAATACCAATACTAGGCCAATACTGGGGAAACAGCAGCATCAGGGGGAACCCCGAAGGGCCAGCCTTGTCGAGTCGGTTTGCTTCAGGTTTAGTGAGAGACTCAAAAAATAAAGGTGGGGAATGATTGTCACTTGATGTCTATCTCTGTCCTACACACACACACACACACACACACACACCACACAAAAGCATAAACACAACAACAAAATGCACAGCTTCTAGGTCAGGCCTAGTGGCGTACACCTTTAATCCTGGCCCTCAGGAGACAAGAGTCAGGCTACACCTACACCATGAGACTGTCTGAAACAGCAACAACAACAACAACAAAACCAGATACGGCTCCCACAACCACACCTCAGCCCATTCCCATGTGCCCGTCGGTCAACACACCAACCAGTTTCCAAAAATGTTTCCTGTGGCTCCCATGTTGGTGGGTATCACCTTCATACTCACAGACACACAGACACAAACAGAGACACCGACATACTTACATCTACAACCCAGTACAAGCATGAGCGTGCAATACACCCGCCCCCCCCACATCAAACGCATACATACACAGACATGAGCACATGGGCACACATGTACATGGGGTCTTCACACACCTCCTGCTGATCCACGGCGCAGCCTTTCCCACCCTGGCGCCCCCCCCCCCCCCAAGGCCCCCACCCGTGTCCTGAAGGGAACTCAAGAACCCAGTAGCGCAAAGCCCCGCTTGCCCCTGGCTGCCTCTGGATTCATATCCATCCGGTCTCATTTCTCCTGTTCTTCCTGCTGGCATCTGGGGGGATGCAGAGGAAGCATCCAGAGCTGGGGGTTCACCTTGGGGCACCCTGCTTGAGTGGCTGGCAGGAATGGGGCTACAGAGAGGGGAAGGGCAGATAAGCAGCTGGGTAAAGCCTCTGTCCCTTCAGTGCACAGAAGTCTCCAAGGCACTGTGGTTTGTGCAGGACCAGCTGGCTTCTCATTGTTTTTTTTTCTTATTACACTTTTGTTTTCTGTTATGCTTTGCCTGAGTGTATATATGCGTACCACACCCATGTCTGGTGCCTGAGAAGTTGAGGAGAGGGTGTTGAATCCCCCTGGACTTGAGTGGTGAGGTGGTTTTGAACCACGGGGTGTGTGCTGGGAACTGAACCTGGATTCTTTTGAATCAGCAGCCAGTGCTTTGAACTGTCCAGTCATCTCTCCAGCCCCCTCGGTCAGATTTCTTAACTGTTCTACCCCATTCTGTGCTTGCGTGTTGTCTCTGTTGCTGTGAGACGGGGCTTCGTGTAGCTCAGCCTGGCCTCAAATTAACTATGTAACCAGGATAACCTTGACTTCTGACCCTTTTACCTCTAGCCCGCTGAGTACTGGAATTACAGATGTGTAGCTTCCATTGTTGAAAGGCAACTTTTCTCTGCTTCAGTTGAGGTGGAGGCCTGGGCATGAGAGGCTGGGTTGCCTGAAGTTATGACCTTTTTTTTTTTTTTTTTTTTTTTTTTT